GGATCCAAGGGAAGGAGCCATATCACAGCTGCCAGCACAGGGTTGAAAAGGAGGTCATTCCAACAGGATGTGGCAGAGGGCCCGAGGCAATGTTATAAATGAAACAAACCCCAAGGGACATTCAGTAACCCAACAGAAAATGTCTTTCATAATTCACAACTTTATGAAGGTGATAGCATTCTCTTCCCCCAAATAGTGACTGACTCAGGAAGACAATCTTCCTTGAACCTGGATACAAAATACAGTATTTTTATTCTTGTGCTCATGATCTTGTCAGTTTCACAATGACTTAGCTAGAATAATCAGCTCCCTCTCAATTAACCACAGTAAGAGGTGGACTGTGCACTGATAACCTTCAGTCATAAAGACTAAACCTGTCTTTGTACCATCAGCTTTCATTTTCCTCCACCCAAATCTGTTCCACAGAGTTGACTGGGACTGATTTCTGGTCACACTACACTGTCAATATTGAAGAACACTGACGTAGTTAAGGCCCAGAGTTTTTAAGCAGGAAAAAAAAAAGGTGGGGGGAGGGTCTTTTGATAATGTAAGTTTTATTTCTGCAATAGAGTGTTTCTCAACTCGACTCTACATGAAGATATTCATTAATCTGGATTCCTCATCTGGATGAAAAGAGGGTAAAATGGAAGAGAAAAGAAGTAATTCAATCAAGTGCCCAACAGATGTCCCAGGAAGCCTAATCAAACCTACATGCTCACGTACTCTTAAACTGCCAGATCAATTATATTCACATTCACTAATCTGTTCAATTATAGCAATAAAGAGTTTCTTATTTTTTCAATTGCCAGAGGGCACATGTGCTCACCAGAGAGAGAGAGAGAGAGAGAGAGAAAGACAAATCACCCCCGCCCCCCAGTGGAGAACCCAGTCAAGCTGCAATCCCCTTCCTCTGTTACTCTATCACATCAAAATTTGGGGAACAGTTTTTTCAGACACAGGGGTTAGGACTCCAACCATGACTGGTCCTGTGGAATCTGACTCCTAATGCTATTGTAAAGTAAAATCTTTAAAGGCTTTTCTACATTTTCCACATGTCCTGAAATAAGATTACTGGTATACTAGGTAAGAAGAGAAACAGCATCATTAGGAACCCAGTGGCTA